TCAGAACACAGCTGTTGCCTTCCATTAAAATTTAAAATCTCTTTGTTTCCCTTTCACAAATATGCCCCCTACACAATTTTTGTTTACTGTGTGTTTATGTACTTCAATTTCCTTTCTCTTTGTTTAGGCAATGTGGAGGTCACCAGTGCATTTCTGAGCTATACACAACTGGTTTCTTTTTAAATACAAAAGCACTATGGTGAGTTGTGTGATCCTATGTATTGTTTAACTTCAGTTTAATACGCATGACCGTGTGTTATAGCTAAACCTGGTGTGGTGAGACAACTGTAACAGCTGCCTCACAGCTGACACCTTCCAGTATCTTTAAAGAGTGAACAAAGAGTCTTTATTTTATTTTTTAAAGAACCTTACAGCTATGGACTGCATACAGTTTAACTTTCATTTATGGTATTCCTGCTGACTCATTAAATAAAATTTTAATAGGCCTTAAGTCAAAGTGTAAAATTACTTTGTGGTGGGGATAAAAGTAAATAAAATGTGAACCTTGTAAAAATTTAAGTGTAAAATTCAAGATCACTGACAAGTCTGGGATGCCTGAGTTGTACTTTATTCTTAGGGGGTTGATATTTGTTAACATTTTTAAGAAATGTGGCATCTAATCTTTAAGAGATTTGGCATGTCAGGTTTAAGTTATTTTGATCATTACAGCTTGTTATACTTCTTTACGTAACTGTGTTTGTAGAAAGGTTAACTCCCATTAATCTGAAGGAACAAAGTGATTGCACCTTAAGCTTATGTTTAAAACATGAATGTACATGAATTTTGTGGTTTGAAACATTGAGAGCACAAACACTGAAAATTATGTAACTATGATGAGTTCAATATAAAATACTTTTCTATGACAAATTGTTAATGGTGAGTGTTAGTATTTTATTCAGGAATGTGTTAATAAATACTATGACTTCTTTATAGAATCAGTTTTTCCCACAGAACAATTCCAGATACTATTGGCCTAACAGGAATTGTTTTGTGGGAAATAAGGAAAGTATTAGTGGTGTGTCCTAACACATGCCTGAACAAAACTCTGACCCTCTTCACAACCAGCTCCTGCCTGATCTTTGATTAAGTAATTTTTAAAACTGATGACTGACATAAGAAAGACTCTATGTCCTCAAACGGAAGTTGAATTTCCACAATGCGACTGTATAAACACCATTTTGTTCGTGCAAACAGACTTGCACGCCTGCAACACAAGTACAAGTATATCCATGCACAAAGATCCAAGCACAGTGTGCAGCTGCAGATTGCTCTTAAAACATCCATAAAACAAAGAAGAGCTTGATCATTTATATCACATGTTGCAAGTTTGAATCTGCATGCACTGAACATGTGGCTCAGTAAGGAAAACTGCACCAATGACCTCTCTGGATGCTGTTCTGATGTAATGTCTCGTTAGCTCTGATGCTCATTACCTGTAAAGTTGAGGTCGGTGCAGCTGAGCCTCGAAACTAGCTCAGGCCCGACTCAAATGACAGGGCCTCCATTTAGACCTGAGGGAGGGAAGGGTGCACAAAGGAGAGGATAGAGGAGAGAATGAAGGGAGTCTCTGTGTCTGATGAAGAGGATGATCTTCTTCAGCCTAAGATCCGGAGACACCCAAAGCTTGGGCTCTTCCGCTCCTTCGGAAACGACGTGTCTTCACTAACGATTGCCCCTTTGTGTGAGCGCCTTTGAAAAGATCCGCCATCTACTGGGAAAAACAGGAGGAAGAGAGGAAGTACTCCTCTGATATGTCAGGTCAGGTGCCTGTCACATGTCTGTTTTTAGAACGTGTTTTTATTTAGTATTTATGGGTGAGTTTTTGTGCCACATGCCATATAGTTTGTTTTTCATCCTCTTACTGTCATTGCAGATTAGTTTGTGATGGACGCCTGTTGTATTTTAAACACTAAGATTTTTGAATCTCTTGCTGAAGGCCGTAAAAGCAGAGATGCCTCTGAAAGACAGGATACCCTGATCAGGAACCACAACCATGACCACCCTCCATCTACCCTTCCTGCCTGGCCTGCTGGTTCCCTTTCAGTCCGTGAGGTTAGTTGTTGTTCTCCAGGGACAGTGCAGGCAGGCGTTCGGGAGTGGGGTCTGTATGGCAGGAAGCTGAGGGTCCTCCAAGACTCTTCAGGGGTCAGCATCTCATCCTTCCCTGTCAGGGTCGGGCCATGCTTTAAGGTCCGGTTGGAAGGCTGAGGTACTCAGCCTCTATTGTTAGGACAGAGGAGAAAAATGTGCACACATCCTTTGTCTATTTTCTGCTTGACCTGGTTTATTGAGTTCTGATTTATGACAGCAGGGCATGTGTTTCTAACATAAAGTGGGGCCTGGTGGCAAGCCTGCTCTAAAGCAACACAATAACTGAGGCTTGTTGTCACCCACTGGCAGGAAAGGGAATGAACGAGATGTGTTGACTGAAACTCTTAAACATTTTCTATTTATTTCCAGGAAACTCAGGTTGGGCTTTTTCACTCTTTATTGTGCTGCATTTATTTATTCTTTCTAAAGAGTGACAAGTTTTTATTTTTGTCTTGACTAAAGTATGGCCAGTTTGTGTTCGCTAAAGTTGATTGGGTGTGGTAGCCATCTTGAATTGGGTTGACATCAAAAGTTTATCAGTAGTAGATGCACGTTGAATTATTACCTTTTGAGAGTTTTGTTCCAACACACACACACACACGAGATAAAAGGTCGATTACATTTAACGTTGTTTTAAATTTGACTTTTAGGGAGCATAAAAGTTTTATTTTCAATATTCCGTGTTCATAAAACCTTATGAGGGCGTTTAATATTAAAATAATCAGAAATATTGGACGCACTGACTACCTTTTAATAATTAGACATAAAACTTTTATCATGTTTCACAAAAATTGCAAGTACAGGTGTAGAAAAAAGGCGGTGAAATAGAATTTTACAGATTTTTTTTTTTTAAACTTGAAATGTAATAAAATAAAGCCTACAATTCTTTGACAATCTGCTGGTCCATCACAGAAAACTGAGGATGGAGCTTTTTTTATTTAGTCACTTCATTTCCGCTCAGAACATGCTCAAACAATGTAAACGTATAGCTTAAATTAAAGTTGTTTTATGCTGATGGAAATAATTACAATGTTTTGAGATTTAAATGAGGCGTCTACATGTTAATTACTGATGTAATTAGTAGTAAAAGTTTGCTGTCTGTTATTTTATGGATCTAATTTTCTTCAGACCACACTGCTGCAGTCTCAGCCCCCATACAGATGCAGACATTTCCAGAATATCCTATTGTCTCTATAATAAACATAGTTTAAATGACAAATCATGCTTTTTTTTTTTTTAAAGCTCTTTCAGTTTTTTTTTGTTTTTTTTTTAAGAGAAAGATAATTAAGATGTTTTTTCCCCCTTGTGGATTCCTTGTGGTCTAACATGCCTGATTTTTTACACTTGATAATTACAGAGGGAATTAAAATATTTGTACATCATGGTTGAACAAACACTCACTCATGTACGATCAAAGGGCATAAATCACGTTCCTTGTGCTGCCGTGAAATCTGCGTAACACGACCACACCAGCTTCATAAAACTTGAAAAGACATGAAAACAATCAGTCCAGATGTTATTTCATAGTTGGCTCGGTCTTTAAAGGTGACAGGTGGAGGATAATGTGACAAGCCATCTCGTGAAAACGAAACAAAAAAAATCTATATGGAATTGTAAAGTTCACAGTAAGTGGCTTTTTGTGCTACTGTTTAGTCAACTTTGAGTTTCAGACTTGAACGATTTATTTTAGTAAACGCTGTTAATCGTATGCTTTAGAATACATTTAGATAATGACAAAAGCTAGGTTAGTAAGAGCAGTGACAGTAATTAAGTGGTCAGAATCACTGAAGCTGCAGCTGTCTAGTTTTTATCTTTTCAGCTGACAAAGATGTTTTCATCCGTCTGAAATCTGAGCCACATCTGAGGTTTTCCCTCTGCAGAGTTCCTATGGGCTGAATTTAAACAAACGGGCCTCACAAGTGCTCTTTGAAACGATTTAAACAAAGGCATGATCCATTACAGGTATTACAAAGGGACACAAAGTCAGCGCCCACTACAAATCACCAACCGGAGGGATTAGTCCAATCCCTCTGTCTCCCTGCTGTTATCCTGTGAAAAAGCTTATTAAAGTCAAAATCGTTTACTCATTCTGCTTTTAGCATAGAAAAGCCTAAAGATCAGTAGCTGTGCCATAACAGAGGATCATAAGTGATGATTTGGAGTGTTGTGATAATAATGAAATGATAATATTAATGTGAGAAAGCTGAAGGCTGATCCTATTTAGACACGTTTGTCCTTGCTGATTGTTTGCGAGGGTGAAATGTTGTAAGAAGAGGGAAATAGAAGCTGAGCGTGCATTTCCTGCAGACATATGCTTTGATTTCAGCCCTGCCAAACACAATGGGGAGGGAGACCGCTCCTCTTAGCAATGCTCCAACAGGAAGAAGCAAATTCACCGGACAGGAGAAAAGACATTCCAGTCAGTCTTAACAAGCGGTGGGACAGCAACAGAGACACCAGAGAGGTTTCGTTTCTTGAAAGCACCTTTTTTTTTTAATACAAATTATTCACATGACTTCAAAATAATATGCATTTACAAAATAATTTGTCAGGAACTGTACATCTCTCACACACACACACACAACACATCCCTTCACACGCAGGCAAGCTGTTAAAACAGTCACCTTTTAATTGGACCCGTCTCCGACCTGAAAACATTTGTCAGCTGCCATCTGTCTGTCTGGTCTGACCCCCCACCCTCCCTTTGCTCACACACGCTCAGAGTCTACAGTCTTATCTGAACTCCAACACCTCTTGCTAAATGGCACACCCCTTCTTCACTTGCACCCACAGTAACACTGCCAGCTGCATTGCATATACTGGTCTGCTCTGCAGAGTCTGCGGTCGAGATGGCACTTCGAGAGCTCACTCGTAAAAACAAGATCACATGTTCAATACTTTGCATCACGTTCACAGGAGAACCAAGAGAAATTCACAGTCCACCATTTTTCCCCTGCGTGCTGAAAAAGTTTACGTTGCTCAGTTTCTGCCTCTCAAGTGAGGAAAGAGTTTCTGAGTGATTCTACCCCCGATGCCATTAGTCCCATTCCGTTCATGGAGTCAAGAAGTGACACTCTGAAACTGACCGAGCAGGCACCTCATATCGCAATGTTTTGTTTCACCTGCGCGGTTCTGCATCGTTCGCCTCCTCCACAACATGCCCCCAGCTGTAGTCACACCTTTGTGGCCAAAGACTGAGCCTCCGTCTTCTGCGAGGACAGCGAGCTGTGGGGGCTGGCATGCAGGAATTTCTCCTGTCTGAGGAGGCACAGACACTGGGATCTGAAGCGCTGGTCAAAGAAGGCGTAAAGGAAGGGGTTGAGGCAGCTGTTGACGTAGGCCCAGCACGTGGCGTAGGGATGAGCCAGCAGCAGGAAGCGCAGGAAGTTGCAGGTGACGGGGAACAGGTTCAGGTATGACAGGGCATCGGCGCTCTTCACTATGTGGAAGGGCAACCAGCAGGCAGCAAACACCACCACAAGTGTGGTGATGATCTTCAGCAGCCTCCTCTTGCGTTGGTCCTCTTTCCGCAGCGTGATGAAGTGGTGGGTGACGGTGCAGCCGATGAAGCAGTAGCACACCATCATCGCTAAGAACGGAAGAAGAAAGCCAAGAGCTGAAGAGGAGAGGCTGAGACCGGCGATCCACAGGTGCTCCTGATCCTTCTTTGTCACAACCGGGGTGAAGTCCATGGCACAGGATGTGCGGTTGTTTTCAAAGTCGTGTGTGGTTGTGCGAAAGACGAGAGTCGGAGCAGCCAGGAGGCCGGAGAGCAGCCAGATGGCTGTCAGCGAGGCTTGAATGTGGTTACGGGTGCGCAGTTGGGTGCTGGACAGGGAGTGGACGATGGCCAGGTATCGGTCGAAGCTCATGCAGGTGAGGCAGAAGACGCTGGCATACATGTTGAGGAGCACCACATAGCTGCTGATCTTGCACAGGGCCACTCCGAAGGGCCAGTGGTAGTGCATGGCCGTGTAGACGGCCCACAGAGGCAGAGTCACCACGAAGGTGAGGTCGGCCAGGGCCAGATTGCCAATGTAGATGTCGGCAACTCGACGCTTGCCTTGAGCCCTCCACACGGTGAAGATGACCACCCCGTTTCCAGAGAGGCCCAGGATGAAGATGAGCATGTAAAGCACCGGGATGACAGAGTACGATGGCGTCCACTCTGAATAGTCACACATGGTGGAGTTCTCAGACTCCTCGAAGTCGTAGTAATCGTAAGGACTCTCAGTTGTCTCCATCTCCATTCTTCTTCTTGTTTTCTTGTCCTTAATCTGCAGAAAAACAAATGTTTAGCAGGGGCAGAAGTTTCACTGCAGCTGACTGCACTGGGAAGTCTGTTGTTGTGTGAAAGCTGCACACCCTTATATACTCAACTTGCCCCCTCCCATGTCACCCCCTCTCCTCCCAGTGCCCTCCTCCTGTCAGCACCGCAAACACATAGACTTGTCTCTTCATTCATTTGGTTTGCTACAAAACACACAGAGAAGCTATATATAAACAAGTTTAAGATGGAAATTTAAAGTTGTTTTTTTCACTTTACATACAATAATATATTTGTAAGGTTGATGTAAAACTCAAAAACACAAACCTTTGGTTCAAACTTGAAATAAATCACTCATTTCAACACGTGTTTTACAGAGTGACAACTCATCTGTTGTGTTCAGACAGCAGAACAAAAACCAGACGAGTTTCATAAAGAGACATTTTGATTTCAGCTGAAAAATGAGCTGTTATTGGAGCACTTTATCCCATAAAGAATAGAAAACTGTTTACTTTCCTTTACCTTTTGCGGTTTTGCTTTGTTTTGCCTGCACAAGTTCAAACATGAAGCAGCACTGAATGGGAAACTAAAAAGAAAGATGACTAATAAATAGTAGACTGTCATTCTATTAAAAACACCATTTGTTACAAATAAGTCTTGTTGTTATAACATAAATTATTATGGTTAAAAACTTGAGTAACTAAGATTTTTTTTATTCCACTTTCTGCTTTTTAAAGCTACCACATAAAACTGTATACTGTATATGTAAAATTACCTATAATAAATATTTAAATACATACACAAAAAAAATCCCCATCCACCCCCCATGAATTTAATCAAAAATCAGAAATCAAATATAAATTCTTCTGCAAACAACTATCTCTGTTTTTATTTTTAGATAGATATTTTTCAAAGCTTTTATTTTGAAAGCGAGTGTTGTGTTCAACACCTTTAGTGTAGCCAGCAGCCAGGAGTCTCACGCTAAAAATAAAAAAGCTGATACAGAATGTAGAGTTTTTTAGCCAAATGTGGATTTCTAAGGTTTATTTATTTATTTATTTTTGGATACGTAATTGGTAAAGCAGTGTGCGTAGTTTGTAGAAAAAAATAAAATAAGAATAAAAATAAAAAAGCCTAAATCTTGTCTTTAAGAACTAAAATCACTGGCAACGTTTTACCTCGCAGAGTTTTAACTCTGCTGCTCAACTCACAGACGTATTTTATAAACAACTGTGGCTCCATTTAAGGGCAAACACGTTTTTTTTAACGGTATAAGATTTAGTGCCAAGAAGCATTTTTACAGCAAAGGAATAATAAACTAAAACACTAATTTTCTTATTGGCAGAAATGAACCGAGCCTACTGGTCCATCCATCCATCCCAGTTCCTCGTGGCCCTTTGGGAAAATCAATTGTCTCCCCTCCTTGCAGTTTAAGTAAACATTAAATAAGTAATTTTACACCTCATTACTTTTCTGTCGCATGACTGTTTACCTTGGCACTACTAAACTACTAAACATAATTTGTGTACCACCAATCGAAATACCCCAAGTGGCAAAATATGGCTCCCTCTACTAGTTGTAGGATTAAACCAAGTACTGTATTTTCTGCCTTATAAGTCACACTTTTTTGCATAATTTACTTGTCCTGTGACTTATAGGCCGAAGCGACATATTTATGGAGTTTTTTTCCCCATATTTATAAACCATTTTTTGGCTGAGATCTGACAGTTTTCATTCATTCTAACTGAATTTTTTTAAGCAGTACCACTTTCAGCCACTTGATGGCAGCAGAGTAGTAATAGCAGTGTGGCATGCCGTTGTATCATGTAATAGGTAGTGGCTATTAATGACACAATCAGCTTGCCAAAGCCTGCCCCCTTCATCCAGCTCTAGGATCATTCCTGGAGCAACCGTCAAATCAGGTTCCTTTCACTGCTCCACTGCGGCGAAATGCAGCTAATTTGACCACTGAAGTGCATTTATTAAGTAAAAGTTCAACTGAGACACACATTTGCTATAATGTCAAGCAAACAAATAATTGTTTCATGTGCTTATCTTATTAAATTTTGAAGAAATGCACAGAGTTCCTCCTTCCTGATTACATCCCTCTGCGCACTCACGGAGCACGGAGGCAGCAAATACTTTTGAAATGTTGCTGCCTATGTGAAGGTCTGGTTCGTGCTTTGAGGACTCAAAATCAGCTGATTTACGAGCGAAACCGTAAGTTGGAAGTTATTTGACTTGCAGGTCACCTGCGGCTTTGGGACTTGTCAGCATGAAAATGACCTTGAAGAGGCTTGTAAGCAAGGACCCTAATCTGGCCATTTTGGACCTTGGAAGTATCAGTAAAAACTTGAGTTGAGAGTTTGATAAAATGTTGTTTTTCTGACTATTTTAACCTGTGATATAAAGTGGGTTTTTTTGCATGTTGTTGTGAGTTACCCAGAGGCCTGAGGAGGAGGCCCGGCCCGCCTCCTCTTGTACGCTATCTGGAGGTTTTGCTCACCCTAGCTTCTCACGCTCCCTCGTTATCTAGAGTTTTTTAAGCTTCTCACGCTCTCACACTATCTCAAGGGTTTTTCACAGACTTTGAGTCCAGGTGGGCATGTTGCTGGGAGATGTTCCCATGTAATGCAGAGAGTATTAAAGTGTGACACTCAGAATTAGAGTTGGAGTCTGCTGTGGATCCTGATCCGATGCCCAGCCAATTGATGTTACCTTTCTACTCGGACTGAAACGGCTCCCCAGTCGGTGTCACGGTGAGGGGCATCAGTGTTTGATTTGTACTGAATGTACTTGTGCTTTGCTTCGCTGTATCTGTGGCAGTTTAATAAATGACACTTATTATCCTAGCAGAACCAGCCCGTGAGTTTTCATTCATTGCTCCGACCTTTCCCTGAACCTGTATTTTGTTTAAGATAATTTCATAGAACAAAACTCAAGGCTGACAAGGAAAAATAGTCTGCCTGAATAAGTCAACAATTGGGTTTTTCTGAATCTGACTCCCTGGTTGGCCTCGAAACAGGCCGGCTTATCAATTTCTCCTGGGAAATGTGTAAACTAAGGAAAAGCTTCATCTATTGTGACGTATATGGCGAAGCGACTTATTTATGTTTTTTCCACTTTATTAGACAAATTTGGACTGATGCAACTTACGATGTGCGATGCGTGCGGCAGAAAATACGGTACTCCTCACAGCCCTGAATAAATGTAAAAACAGAGTGTGCTTCATAGACCCTTAGCTATAAATCTGAGTAAATTTTAGAAGAAAATGTTGAACTTTCTGTGTTGTTTCCAATAACAGTGACATTTTTTTATGCAAATTGTATTATTAGTTAGAACAGCAGCATGCAATAAGTGGATTTTTTTTTTTTTTACTTTAAAGCCTCATTAAGGTGGAAACTGACACTCTTCTTTCTCTTTTTGTTTCTTCGCTCCAGATGGGACATTTCCGTCCTCAGCCTGCCCCGTCTCTCAGCAGAGTGGCAGCAGTGGCGCCGGGGCATAGACCTTTAGACACAACTACTGTATCACTCAACGTCTGATCCCTTCCCCCCCACACCCCTTCTCTTTTGTCATCTCCCTCTTCCTCCTATTATGAAGATGAGGATTTATTCCCGATTCCTCAGCTTGCGCCAGCGTCATTTACCCTCAGGGAGCTGCTGTTGTTGACAATTACTGTGATTCAGGCTGTGTTTGAAAGCAAACGGACGGGACTGTTTTCAAGTGTCCCCACCCAAACCCTGTCCTCTGCCGACCAGCTCTATTCTGTATCACCTTCTGTTGCCGGACATTTGGCAGAACAGGATAAAAACATAATCTAAAATTAATTAAAGCAGGCTATTTGAGAGCCCTGCTGGGAAATATATTGTATATATTTGGCTGGGTTTGTTAATGAGAATTAAAATATGTGCCTAAATAAAACCTCAAGGCCCCGATGATTACTCCACCCTTTTGTTTTTCCCCACCATCAGCTCACCACTTGTGCATAAATACAAGAAATGAACTTAAAGTTTTAGTTATGCTGTGGATATATTTGTGATTTTTAACTGTGGGAGGGAAAGGTCATGTTTTTAAGAACGACAAGTTCCAGTAAGCTTAAAGGAGAGCATCCATCACTTGGCTCGGCATGCCAGGGACGACTTCTGTCACAACATTCAGCCTTGTTTTTCCTTCTAATTGTCCACATGTGTCGTCATAATTGTTGTTCTCTCGTGTGTGGCCTTGTGCTGTAAACCACACACCAAGTTCATATTTTCTACTTTTTTCTAATCAAATTAAAGTATGCCCCGCTCACCACCCTTTTGGTTGACATCGATCCGTCAGTGATGAGTCAGTGAAGTGGCTTCTGCGAGAAAATAAATGTTTTAACAGCACCGGTGCATTTTAAAGCCGTCCGCCTTTTGTCACGCTAAAAGAGCACGAGGTGTGTGTTCTCCTTATTTAGGTGTTTGTGTCAGCTGGTGGGGGTTCTGATGTGTGTGTTAAGCTGTCAGACCACATGATCAAGACAGCTGCACCCCCCCGGTACCACTTTACAATAAGGCTCCCCTTATGGCTAATAAATAGTTTATAGATACATTATTAATTCCTCAATAAACACTTTATAAATCATTAATACCTGCTTATTATGCATTAAATAAGGGTGAGAAAGACACAAAACTGACCAGCTTCTTGCCAAATAGTGAGCCAAATCTGTTCACTTATATATTTAATCTAGACTTGTTATATTAAACATTTCAGACTAAGTTACTACCTTGTGAGCACAAAAAAACATTTGTAAGACTATTTTTTAGGATAAAACATTGTGCTTTGTCACTGCATTATAAGTATCTACAACTATAGAGACATAATGCAGTGATAAAGCACAATATTATAAGCTGAATAATAAGTTTACAAATGCTTATTGTGCTTACAAGGTAGTAACTTAGTCTGAAATGTTTAATATAACAACTCTAGATGAAATATATAACATAG